GAAGACAAATCTGCAGCAGCTGCGTGATGATGTCATGATTACGTCATATCAACATGGACCAGAATCAGAGGAATGTTTGCAGCTCCACGTTGAGTCAGAGCCGTGAAGACTTAGAGCAGCTCTGAAGGTAAACGAGGTCCAATCAGGCAACAGCAAGGTGGCGTTAGTAAACCGTCCGTGAGTGAACAAATTTATTTATACATTTAATTCTAATCAGCATTTATTTTACCTCAACACCTGTCCATCCAACGCTATGCCACCCCCCTGCTTCGCCGCCAGAACATGCCACACCTTAAAGCTAGCCCTAACGCTGTCGTTCCCAGTTTGAGAAGTGTGGAGAGAAGGCTCCAGAAAGATCCAGAACGAGTTAAGATCTATAATGAGGAGATAGAGAAGTTGGTCCAGGCCGGTTCGGTGGTTAAGGTGTCCCCCTCTGAGGTTGCTCAAGCAGATGAGTCATGGTACATCCTTCACCACCTTGTTAGCCACAATGGCAAAGATCGCCTTGTGGTTACCTGTTCGTTCCAGTTCCAAGGCCAAGCCCTCAACGAACATCTTCTGCCTGGGCCTACCTGAGCGCCTCGCTCCTTGATGTCCTCCTTCGCTTTCGAGAGCATGCCGTAGCCCTTAGTGGTGACATTAAAGGTATGTTCCACCAGATTTGCCTTCTTCCCGAGGATCGTTCCCTCCTGCGGTTTGTGTGGCGGAATCTGCACCCCGAGGAACCGGTGGACGTTTATGAATGGCAGGTCCTCCCCTTTGGTACAACCTGCAGCCCATGCTGTGCAACCTTCGCTCTGCAGCGCCACGCCAGGGACCCCACGGAAGGAGATGATCCGCTACGTCACTCTGTGGGACAGTGCTTCTATGTTGATAACCTTCTCCAGAGTGTGCCGACCCCTGAAGAAGCCTGGGACCTAGTGGACAGGCTAAGAGCCCTCCTGTCTTCTGCTGGATTTGTCCTTCGCCAGTGGGCCAGTAATGAACCCAGCACCATTGGCCACCTACCTGAAGACCTCAGGTAGGTGGCCAATGGTGCTGACACCACCCGAGCCAAGATGCTGGTGAGGCGCCTTTGGGATCAACAGAGGGGATGACCCGCAGCTTCCGCCAGAACTACTCCAGCAGTGGAAAACCTGGGAAGAGGAGTTGCCGTTCCTTGCACAAGTCCTGCTTCCTCGCCCTTATCTCCCAAAGCACATCACGGAGTCAGTTAGTGAGAGAGAGATTCACATATTCTGTGATGCGTCAGAGCAGGCTTATGGCGCAGTGGCCTACTTGAGAACTCTGACAGGTGATGGCAGCTCACATCTGGCCTTCCTGATGGCTTGCTCCCGTGTTGCCCCTAAACGCATTCTCTCCATGCCTAGACTCGAGCTGTGTGGTGCCCTCTCCGGAGCTCATCTCTCCCGTCTCCTTAGAAATGAGCTCACTCTGGACATAAAGAGAATAGTGCTGTGGTCTGACTCCACAACTGTACTCACCTGGTTGAGGTCC